CAGAGTCAATCAATTTACTTCCTCTAAGCTATCCAAATTTTAATTTTTAAATTTTTCTTCTTTTGCTTTGTAGGATGTTTATCGAACAGTATTTATAATCCAGAGCGGCCCATCAAATTCCCCCATGATTCATTAGTCCACCAGCGTCAATCATTCAGACTCAAGAGCAGTTCAAAGTAATTCCCCAAAAGAGCATGTTGTTTACCATCTGCACTACTTTGAAAGTCTTCAAAAGTAGTGCAGATAGTAAACAACATGCTCTTTTGAAAGTCTTCAAAAGACTCACCATTTACTCCCAAACTGCCAGAAAGCACATCTTATAGCTACTATCTTATAAGAGCCGAGGTGGTGCAGTGGTTAGAGTGCAGTACTGCAGGCCACTTCAGCTGACTGCTATCTGCAGTTCGGTGGTTCAAATCTCACCGGCTCAAGGTTGGCCTTCCATCCTCCCGAGGTGAGTGAAATGAGGACCCAGACTGTGGGGGCTGACTCTGTAAACCGCTTAGAGAAGGCTGAAAGTCATATGAAGCGGTATATAAGTCTAACTGCTATTGCTATTGCTATCTTTATCTTGTCCACCAGTAGATATCCTCCCTGCTCTTTCTCTTTCCACTTGTACTAAGTTCTATTTAAAACAATCCATTGTTCCATGTGTTTATTTGCCTTTCTTTTTATCAATCCTGGGTTCTTTTCAAGCTCTTTTCCAACTATGTAGCAGTGTAGTATCTGTCACCCCAGCTCTAGCTTCCAGTATTGAAATGAAGAGAAATATATACTAGCTGATTGTCAAATAGTCAAAAAGGTCATTTTTCTTTATAAAATTTCTTCCAGTGGTCAAAAAAATATTATCTACAAGTTTAAATCACTTTTCACAATACTATAAATTTCAATCCAGTCTTTCTTATAGTTTAAAACTTAACAGTCTCTCATTACAGTTCCATTTCTCTTTTGGATCTGTGATCTATCTTTGCATATTAACTTGCCACTTTCTCTACACTTTGGAGAATCTTTCTTTCAGTAATTCTTTTATTTAGGGATAGGGCTCTAAAATGGGAATTGAAAGTCATCTCACCCAGTTCCAATACTCTGTTCACGAACAGCTCATTAGTGCTTCTTTCTTCAGTTGCCCAACTTCAATTTGGCCATAATGGTCATCTCTCTTCTTTGTTGGTGAGGAGGATGTCTTTCTTTGTGACCCCTCTGGGGTGACTTTAGTCACTTGGGGCCTTCCAAACAAAGAGGAACTGGCTGGGATTCGCAGAGCCCCACTATATTTGACCATCTCACCGTGACACCAAACCGGAAAATTAAGTTGCATATGTTTTGTGTGTGTATATAAAATATTATATATTTATATATCTTCCTTAGTGCTTCTTGCTTTAAATTATATCATCTGTTAAACTACTGCTGGAGATATATAGCTAGTAACTTTAAAAAAATATATAAACTAAAATTTTGTTTTGGATAGCACTTATGGAGAATAACCAAGACATTCTTCTTTCATTTACAGCAGTATTTACTAATTTATTTAAGAACTGAAAAAATAAGATACCTAAAGATGAGTTGGTTGAAGATATATTATTAATATGACTATTCTATGTGTATGTAGAAAATTCAAAGATATGTTAGGAATTATTTTTAATTAATACTATAGAAAGTGATTAAGAATATTTTTCTGTGAAGCCATGACATTTTATCAACTACTATGTCTATGGCCATTAAGCCTAATTTAAAGAGTATAAATTACTAAAAGAGGAGGAGGGTTAAGGAAAGGAATATTTTAAAGCATTTGTTAGCATACAGATGTGTTTTTTTCTGAAAATTTTACATTCCCATTATAGTTTTAAGTTGGGTATGATAGTTATATTTCAAACCTTGCCAAATATTAACTAATACAGAGGAACAGTGTGCAATTCCAATCCATTTCAATTGCTGATGCCTAAGAGATCAAAGTACAGTTTAGTTATTTCATGTTTGATTGAGTTTTTCTATGTCTCATGTTCCTACTGTAATTCTACCTTTGGAACTTTTTTTTCCTGGATAGCAAAATCAGCAACTAGACATCCCAAAATATTAATCTAGTGTGCTATAACATTATTAATACTCCAGCTCTTTTTCAATAGCATATTGAGTGCAATGGGACCTTCAAATACTATCAATCACTATACACTATTAATATGGTTTCTTGGTTAAAATATATGAGTGATTTATCACTGCTTTCTATTTCATGATTATTGGAGACTCTGGACTAATACACCTCCTTCATTTAAGGATTGAATAAATAATCTCTGGACTGTTGCATAAAAGTTGAATCTCCTAAAACAAAATAAGGTATTTTATAAGGAGAAATGAGTGGAATTCTGCAGGAGATGAATGTACTTTTTCAAAATACAAAAGACATCATGAAAGGATTTAAGGAGATTATGGACAAAATGGAAAATACCATATGAAGGATGAAGGAGTAAAGACCAAGCTGCCCAGGAAAGGGAGTACTCAACAGAAAAAAATGAAGGAAGAAGTAGACAAAGAGGAGGCAACAATGGAAAACCAGGGGGGAAATGTATCAAGAGAGTTGGAAGATATGTTTGAAAGGGAGAGAGGGATCTATGTAGAAAACCCTGGGAACTGGGCAGTGGAAGAGGGTAGAGGTGGGAGAAGTGCTTAGATTAAATAGTCAAGAAGCAGATGAAGTTAGAGACAAAGATTTAAGAGAGGAATTGGGGAGGCAAGTCAATAGAAAAGGCATAGCAATTAAAGCATTAAAGTGGGCAAGGGTTAATGGATAAATTATTTTTCTCTTTTTAGTGTTCTGATTTGCTTTTCCTTTTCTCTCTCTCTTTTTTAAAGTGTAGCAATTAAAATATTGAAGTGGGCTATAGACAGTGGATGATTCTTCTATTTGTTGTTATCCTGATTTGCTTTTTCTTCTCTCTCTCTCTCTCTTTGCTATTTTTCTTTTAGGTGGGCGACATGATTAGAAGTTAGGATAGACAGAAATAGTTTTTTAATAAAATGTGATGAATAAAAGCTAGAATAAGTGATAGAAACAAGAGAAGGGGAATATTAGTGTATACACTTTATAATAATAAAAGTAATAATAAGATACAACATTGAATAATTGAATGATGATGGACTATAATTTAATATAAATGTATATTATTGCTACAAATACATGAGTTGATTGAATGTAAGAATTATGATTAATTTCATTAGTCTTATTTGTATTAGAATGTATGACACCCAGGTGCCACACTAGTCACGTATTGATTTGTATTTATTAGTTTGTCAAATATGTACAAGATAACAGGTATAAATATAAACATGGATATGAATGAAAGAAATGAACACGAATAAAAGGGGATAGTAGGACAGGGATGATAGGCATGCTGGTGTGCTTGTGCATGTCTCCTTTACGGACCTCTTTGGAATGGGGTGAGGTCCACGGTGGACAGTTTAAGATTGAAGCTGTGAGGGTTAGAGGATGTAACAATGGAGTCAGGTAGAGCATTCCAGGCATTGACCACTCTGTTGCTGAAGTCATATTTTCTGCAATTGAGTTTGGAGCAGTTTACCTTGAATTTGTATCGATTGTTTGTCTATGTATTATTGAGGTTGAAGCTGAAAAAGTTGTTGACAGGTAAGACATCATAGCAAACAATTTTGTGTACTGTGCTTAGAGGCAATTCAGTTCCAGATTGTCCAAACCCAAAATTTCAAGTCTGGTGTATAGGGAATACTATTGTGAGTAGAAGAATGCATTCAGCTCTTCTTCCGGAATGCAATTTCTGTAACTTTCGGCAGGGTTCATAAGACTCTTCATTTAGTACCATTGTAATTTTGAATAATTGCTGAATGAACTGATGTTGAGGACTATTGGTAAGCTATTCTACTCAGTAACAACTCCTTATTCCAGCAATAAGACTAAAATCATTTCTGAAAGTTCACAATTAAAAAAAAACAAAACCCCACTCCAATATCAAAATCCTTAATCAACTATTCCCAAACTTCTCACTATTCATTTGTCCCAAAGACCTTCAGAACCAATCTTTCTCAAGGGTGTTCTAGAGAAGAGGAAGGAGTGTTCCAGAGGCTGTTTTAAGTATGGGTAGTACAGTGTTGAAAGTACTTGACAGCATCATTCATTAAGGACCAGAATCTGCAGTGTATATTTCTCCCTAGATCTTGCTGTTGGGAAAAAGCAACTTGGAGAAAGTGACTTGATAATACCCAGGTCCTGGGCCATAAAGAATATTAAAACCCATTGCACCTACAATCCAGTCAGCATTTAGTGTAAATCAAACAATGTTACAAAAATAAGCTCTGATATGACATTACCACTTAAGAGTATTGCATTCTCAATCAGCTACAGCTTCTGAATGGGCTTAAAGACAGCCTCTCATAAAGCAAGTTTATTTCAGTTAGGAAGTAAGAAGGCATGAATGATCATAAACAAAACCTCCTAGTTCATGAATGGCTGCAACTGACTATGATCTCCATCTGCTCTACAGAGAAGCCATGAGACCAAGAAGTCCTTGGATTGAGAACTTGCTTTTCAAGACGGAGCACCTTGGATGATCCCTCTGCAGAGTGCAAACTTTGCCCAAGACGAGAAGAATTAAAATTGGAAGATATTAGAGAGACTAGGAAGAAGGGGCCAACTCCAGATGTGCGGCTAATTCTAAGCATCTTATACAAAAGGCCTTGAGAACCTAGACTCATCATTGCTTGCTTGGAACAATTAACAATTAATTAAAAAACAATTAACATTCCTATATGCAGACAAGGTCTGAAAATTTTTATCAGGCAGCCCATTGAAATAGATAGATAGATAGATAGATAGATAGATAGATAGATAGATAGATAGATAGATAGATAGATAGATAGATATAGAAAGAATACAGTACTTTCTTGAGACAATAAGCTCTATTAGTCCATGCAAACATAATGAAACATTTTTATGATAATTTGCCATATGGAAAATTCATTCATCTTACCAGGTTTGTTATCTCGCTTATCCAGATTCTTGTAATTGACAAACATTTGTTGAGTTTTGTATGGCTGGTCTTTCTTCAAAATCAGACTCTGGGATAGTATCATAGCCACCTAAATTACAAATAAAATATAATTGGTAAATTAAGGCATAAGAGCATTAAAAAAAGAAAAAAGTAATCTAACTTTTAGAAAATATTAGCTATTTTTTAACTATAGAAAATGTAAAGCGAGTTAAGCTAATTTGTTGCTGCAGATGACTGAACAGGATGATTGAGCACCAGGCTCCCTTCTCTTTTCATAAATTTGATTGCCTACTGCAGAATGCATTAAGTCTAAATCAATGTTTCTCAATGTTGGCCACTTTAAGACATGTGGACTTCAACTCTCAGAATTCCCCAAGTTGATGTCTTAAAGTGGCCAAATGTGAGAAAAACTGGACATTGGAGCCAATTAAACAGAGTTCTTTGCAAGCAGCTATATGCAACATTTGTATCTCAGCATCATTGTTAATGTTGTAGGATATTAAAATACACTTAATCATTGTGCACTCACCCTCTACTTTTCAAACAATTACTTGTATAAACAATCCTGTTGTTTATTTAGGCCAAGAATTTATAAGTCTAGACTATAATAGAAGTTCTCCAATAAACTAGGAATTTAGTCCAATACTTTAACTATGATATGATACATTCCTTTGTGGAATGGTCATTTCCATCCCACAAAGGCTACACTTTTTAAGTATGCCATATAAATCCGTAGGATCTATTTTCTCTCTCTGATTTCTTGTTTTCTATGTATAGAAACTATTTTTATATAGGTATGCAATCAATTATGTGTATTCCTCCTTTGAACAAAAAGAAAAATATTCCAGTTACTAGTTTATCACTTACTTGCAGACCAGGTAGGAGAAAGCAGTGAATTTAATACCTGCTAGTTGTTATCACAGAATGGAAAAATTCTTGAAGAGAGCCTTTCCTGCTTACCTGAACATGCCATAAAAATAATATAATGAGATGAAATCCCTAAGATATAATATATAGGTCTAGTATAAGCTAAATTAGCTTATATAAATGAACTGACAATTATAAAGGATGCATACATTTTAAGAGAAAATATTCTGTATATATAGAAAGCACATCTTTTTAGAACAGAGAACAGTGAGAAATTATTGCTATATGTTTGCACATGGGAATTTTTATCTCAAAAGGATTAATAAGTGACACAGTATTCACCTTATTCCAAAAATAAAAAATACCTTTGACAGATGAGTTTGAATAAAAACCTATTTACATAAAAACCTAAAAAGATTGATTGAAATAATATTTTAGATATTGTTTCATAATACAAAAATTATAAGAGAATACCTAACCATTAGTACTGTACGTATAAAGTTCCTACATGTAAATAAAAATTCTGAAAACTTATTTTTAAACTGAAACCTAAAAAGATTATATACTTTCTAAATTAATATCTTTGATACTAAGTTATTTCATCAGGCATCAGTTTCCTTGGCAAAGGTATGAAAATGATTTACCATTACCCTTTCTTCGAGGGGTGTTTCTGACTTCCCAGTCTAACCTAAACTGTAGTATTCTCACATAGTCATTCATTAAAGAACAAGTAGCCCTTACTTAGCAACAGGAGTGGGTTCTGGCAGGCACTACTGCCAGTTTGCTCATGGCCGCACCGTGCATGCGCGCTTTATGCACAGTCCAATAAAAAATGTTCTGCCCATGTACAGAAACTGAAAACAAGACGGCAGCACCTATGGCACCGCTGGGGAAACCAGTTCAGGGGTATGGCAGGCCTGGGTCGCTGCCGGTTCCAATGACCCAGGCAACTAAACCACTACCGATTTGGCCAAACCAATCCAAACCATTAGGAACGCACCACTGCTTAGCAACCACAGTTGGAACTGGTCACTCCATCACTAATGTTGCAAATGCTAAGAAGACTCCAATGGGCCTATAGTGTCAATTCCCTTCCCCAAATTTAAGTTCAGACATCCGGATAAAGTAGCCAGTTGCTACCACAATTTTTAAAAGTCCTGTTGTGTGAATGCCAATTTACTCTTTATCAAGGCCATCCAGTTATTAGACTGGAAAGTAGATTATAAATATTTTATCTAATATAATATAAATAATATTTGAAGCATTGAATATATTTTATAATAATAATAATAGCACGCATATTACGAAAATACGTTACGACGTCCTAGGCCCCTGGGTGGGGCCCGACTAGTAACCAATGCCAAATCCGGCAAAACAACTGGCCGCTGTGATACAATTGTATAATAATAATAGTAACAACAACAACAACAAAACAACAACAACAATCCAATCATGACAAACA